GGAAAATAATTCTTAAATTAAGAACAGAACGACTCTTAGCTGGAAACAGGAAACGTTTGGCAGCTATGATTTCTGCCAAAGGAGGTATCTCTAAGTACAAACTGACATTTGCACATGCCATATTCTCTTTTATTTTGAATATTTGCAAAACTGTAAATAAACACTAATTGTGCATTAAAAGTGGCAGAAAGAAATCGTGTTTAGGTTTGTACTATACAAAGGTTGTGTCAGCTGCTTTTCATCTGGAATCTCACTGAAACATACAATATGACCAGGGGCACCTGAACGTTTGCACACAACAGTATGTGAATGCGCTCTGGGATAGTGTGAATTTAGCCTGGAGAAGGCCATCTCTCCTAATACAGAGAGGCGTTGGGCAGGTTGTTAAACTTTACTTGTGTGAAACAGACGGATTTTTAGGCTTATAATGATTTTCAATATCATTTCCTGTTCATTAAATGGTTATATAGCAGTTTTGGTTCTTAGTAGCCTTGTTACATAGTGAAATCTCTTTTCATATTTGTTGATGCAAGAATTATTGTATTTCCAATGATTTCTGATTGTATTTCTCAATTCTCAACAGTGCTGATGATCACAGGCCTTTCTCCTGAGTCCCTGAGCTGGGAGGATCATGAGGACCACCTGGACACTCAACACAGTCTGTTGCTTCACCTGCATGAGAGGTCATTCTTAACAGTAGTTTCTTACAGGTACATCATTAAAAGGGAGTTATGATGCATGGTTTTCTCTTTCAGGGGATTAAAAATATCACATTCCTAGTTTTTGGAACAAATCTTATAATAATAATAATTGCTTATACTTATATAGCGCTTTTTCTGGACACTCCACTCAAAGCGCTTTACAGGTAATGGAGACTCCCATCCACTACCACCAATGTGCAGCAAATCTTGACATGAAAAAATTGAAATTGTTAGGAAAACAATACAGTGATCATTGTATCACTTGATACACATTCTCATGTTTCAGTAACATACAGTAGCACTGTGCCTGGAGTACCAAATGTTGAACCTTGAATCTCTTTGTCTCTTGTATTTCAAAGAATCAGTTCAGAGTTCAGTGTTTCGTATTTTGTTTAAGGGAAAACAGGAAATGTAAGCTGGCTTAGTAAGCAAACTAAGAATGTTTTTCTTTATAAAATAGATATTTTTTTACTCCAGTTTCCTCTTTGGTGGGCCGTACCATACAGAAATTGATTGTTATATATATATATTTGTCCTAAAGTAGTGAACAGTTTATTGTTTTGAAAAAGAGCTCTTGAGTTGGATTTGGTTTCATGCACATTACAAGTTAATTCCTTCTTTTGTTAAAAATGTTTATTTTTTCTGTCACTGACTGATAGTTAAATGTTTGAGGAGTTTCCGAGTGTCTCTTTCTTTCAGAATATGCATATCTTAACTTTCAAATAATAAATTGCTTCAATTCTTGTGTCTGTACTCAAAATGCCTACTTCAATGTAGAATGATGGTCAGAGCTGTCGTGTTGCAAGGCAGAGTGTATGAGTGTGGTGGTGGGGTGTTATAGCACCCTATAGATTCATAATTAACCATGTAATGCTCTTCCAGTCTGGTCTGCTCCTACAGTACTGTGATCATTTTTCTCAAGGTGTGCTCAGCCACAGGAAAGCTCCTCTGGGTTGAGTGTATTCCCTCTCAAATTTTTGGTAATGATATTAACTGCAAAGTGCTTTGAGTAGAAATATTTAATATTGCAGACTCCTGTCCTTCCCGAGTTTCTCGGGAGTCAAGCTCCAAACAGGACTGGAGTCTCCCACATCCTTATTCTTGTCAGCATAGGTTTGGACAAGAGGGATATTTACTAATACAGGGCTGTGATATTAAGTAAATGTAAGTACATCTAAAGAGTTTATTTTACCAAGAGTAATTATGCAAGACGGCTGGTGGTAAGTAATTGCTTGGTCACAGGCTGCATGCCTTTCATTCAAGCAACAACTGAAGTTCTACAGTCCAGCTGCAGGAAAACTGACGCAGCAACTATTATGAAGGAAGAGGAAGCAACCTATATTCAAGAGGGACAGGCACGCTGCACAGACTGCAGGGGCAAATGCAACACGTGTAGGCTCATTAAAAGTAATGGTAGGATGATCATACGTGGAGACGCGCTCTTTGTAGCTGAAGTGACCCAGCTCCAGGTACACCGGCCCCAACTCTCAAATTCACTTAAGAAAGAGTACGAAGGCCACACAAGTTTATTGCAAGAACTGGACAAGAAGAAACCGTATAGCCGTAACCCGGCCAGCTGTTATTATCCAGTATTTAACATCGCTCAGGCGGCCCACTGTCTGGAGCCCCGGGAGAGGAGACGCTCCTGTCAGGACAGCCGGCCGGAGAGACGGTGGGTCCCGGAACCGCGAGGTGAGTCCGGCTGCTCTCCGGGATCAACTGCTGCTTGAACAGGGGAGAAGAAGCGTTTCGTATTTTAATACTTGTAGTCAAGCTTTTTTCTAGCCTATACAAAAGGTAGCACCAGATTGGGAAGACGAAGTAAAGTTTATTCGAAGGGAGGAGTTGAGCAGCCGGTACGGGTAAAATACGGCTTCGCTCTTTTCCCCCGTGGTAATATTTCCACCTTCAGTTTAAGTTAACGGAGCTGTGGGCGCGGTCTTAATACGCTATTGTTTCCCATATTGAGAAAATTCAACTGTCATGAGAGTTCTGCAGGTGCAAATGCAAAGCTCTTTCTTTAAACTTGAAAGCAAGAGGCTCGATAACACAAGACCAGTTAGATTCGCTCACCTCCGAGTTCACCGCTCATCTCTCCAGTTTCACGGTACACGGGAGGTCCGAGCTTCGGTGTCCAGACTGCTGTAGAGGACAGGAAGACTGGGGAGCTGGAGAGGAGAAAGCGCATTAAATAACTACCGAAAAACAAGTAACAGATCTGACCAAGCATTCAAAATATAGGTAGCAATATTAAATCGTAATTGCATTTCGACCCATTTTAAGGTACTAAAGTTGATGGTTTAGTTCCAATTCAACTTTTCTTTGAAAGAGAGAAGGCATTTTCTGAAATCCAGTCAGTGGCCGCGACAAAGCCGCTTCCTTAATTACTCTGAAGCTCAGATGCCTTATCTTTAATTTTGAACTGTTCCTATCCTAATAGGAAGAAACTTGGGCTGGAAATAAACGAAACATCCCGCATTTGCTTTTCCTTGCAAGTGTAATGCTGCTATTTGAAATGCAAAAACCCCAAACGGTTCCCAGAACCATTTTTAAAGGAGATCAAATTGGTTGATTAATCAAACCTGGTTTCTGACTTTCAATTATTTAGAAATGTCTAAAACACGGACTGGATCCCGCCCGGAGTTGGCCGTCTCCGCTTTGAAAACAGCCTTTCAATCGCAAGCAATTTGGAGTACAGTCCCATTCCACGCTTTTAACTGACCCGCTGGTGAAGAAGCTCTAGTTGAACATTTAAGATTTGTTTTCTATTCAACTAAAAAAAATTCAGATCATGAAGAGTAAAAGGTTAGAAATTAGCGTCAACCTTGCGCCAGAAACAGTGTTTCCGAATTCCTGTCTTTAAGCTTTGGTCAAGCAGAAAGAATTATTCTGTGAGTGTCTGATAGTTAATCTCGCCAGTGATTACTGTACTAGATACCACTCCTTGACAATGGTTCCCCAACGCTGTTCACTGTATAACCTGTGTATACAGGAATATTGATGCCTTTTTAAATTAATCGATTCATCATCTCTTAGAGTTAATGAGTTAATATAAAACGTCTAAATACCTGTCGCACACTGCTTCCAATAGTTCAGCTCCAAGCCGTTTGATATTCATAGACAATATATTCCTATCACTTTTCTGTTTTCTATGCATACACAAATTCACGTTCTTTTTGCATGCACTGCTTTTGATTTTTGAATCTGTTATCTGAAGGACTAAACTCATATATGGAACTTTGTCAAACGCCCATGGACATATAAATATATGATGATACCTACTGGTATAAAGGAACTAAAGGAACCAGACACCAGCTGGGGTATAAAACATTTAGATGCATTTAATCGCTGGTGTCGTTTTTAAAAATGTTGTCTTTGGAATCATTTCAGACATTTTGTTTAAAAAAAAGCATTTTAACCTCTCAGACTACGTCTGACACTGATCCCCTTAATCTGCTGCAAATGTTGATTCAGTACTTTATTTTTCATTATTTTTTCAACTCAGAAGCCTTAATGCTTGAAAAGCGAGCGAAAAGGGGGAACCTTTGCTTTAGGCTAAATAAAAGGTTTATATGTGGAACATTTTACGTAGCCGGCCTGGTGGCTCCGCGGGCTAAACCATCGGACACTTCTAAAGTTCAGAAAGTAGATCGACCCGCAGAGAGTCTCTGGAGTTGAAGTCGAGCCCCGAGCCTCCCCGTCAGTCTTGAGATCTAAGCCCCGGGTGTAGCTCTCGTGCTGTCGGGGTGAGTTTGTGGAGGTGGCTGTTCTCTACCACGCCGGCCGTTTTGGGGGGTTCCATT